GGTTTGAGGTTAATATAGGGTTCTATGGGCCTCCCCTGGTGGCGCAGCAGTTGAGCGCTGGGCTGCGAAGCTGCCCGCAGCCTCTGCAGTGCCGGTTCGATCCCCGGCCACTGGCGAGGGTCCCACATGGCGCAACAGACCTCTCCTGCCCTGCCTGCTGCTCCCCTCAGCAGTGTGTTTCATCAGTCTGCCTGTTCTGTTCCTCACTCTAGCTCTGGTGAATTCTCTCACCCTCCCATGCTTCTGACTGTGCCCAGTGCTTATATAAATAAATAAATAAATAAATAAATAAATAAATAAATAAATAAATAAATAAATCTTTAAAAAAAAGATATAGAGAGTTCTATGCTTAAAACCTATTTTAATTTGAAAGGTAGTCTCAAGGCCTTCTAACAGTCCCCAGTTTTACTCTTCTAACCCTCATATTTTATGTTTTTAGTGTCTTGTTCCTTCTAAGTAGGTTTTCTTTTTGTTTTATATGAAGTCCCTTCAGTATTTCTTGCAAGGCTAGTCTAGTGGAGATGAATTCCTTTAACTGTTGTTTGCCTACAAAACTTTTTATTGCTCCTTCAATTCTGAATGATAGCCTAGCTAGGTAGAATATTCTCATTTAGAGTTTTTTTTCCTTTCAGTACCATGAAGATATCATGCTATTCCCTTCTGACCTGTATGTTTTATTACTTAGAAACTCTCTGATAGTTTTATGGGGATTTCCTTATGTGTGAGTCTTTGTTTTTCCCTTGCTGCATGTAGGATCTTTAACTATAATGCATCTGGTGTGTTTGGATTTTTTTGTTTGGATGCTTTGAGTTTCTGGATCTGGATGTCAGTTTCCTTCCCCAGTTTTGGGAAGTTCTATTACTTCTTCAAATAATATTTTTGTCCCTTTCTTTCTTCTCTTCTGAACAACTATGATGCAAATATTCTTCTTGATGTTGTCCTACACATCTCCTATGTTGTCTTCATTTTTCAAAATACTTTTTCTTTCTGCTGATCTTTCTTTGATGTCTCTGCTTCCCTATTTTCCAACACATTGATTCAGTCCTCTGTTTCATCAGGTCTACTGTTGAGCCCTTCTATTATTATTTTTATTCCCACTTTTGTTTTCCTTAGCTTTATAATGTCTGCTTATAACTTTTTCATATTTTTTTCTGTCCTTGTAGTTCCTATTTTGCTCAACCTTTTTTTCCTAATTTCAGTGAGTTGAAAGTTACTTTTAAGTCTTCTTCCCATAATTTATTTAATTCTATTGCATTAGAATTTTTTCTCAGTTTTGCCTTGATCTATCAATTGGGGTAAATTTCCTATCAGTTTTTTTTTTTTTTTCCCCTGGTACTCTGTCTTTATTTCTATAGATTGGGCTAAATAACTTTCCTTTCCAGTCATGATGCAATGATCTTACGTTAGAATTGAAGGTTGCTGGGAATTGGTTTGGGATGCAGGGCTTTCTGGTTTTGAATAGGATGAGACTATATCACCGATCAGAATGACTGAAGCTCAATAGTCAGTGCAGGGTAGTGGACCAAGAACCCAACCGACAGTGTAAATTCCAGGGAGGTATTGTAAAATGCCAACGGTGGAGGCCTCCCTGAATATTATATGCTTGAGCCTAGGAAGGGATCTGCAATTACACACAGCTTGAGTGAGATTTCACTGATAGAGTTTTCTCGGAAGCCTCAGACTGGAACTGGCCCCTGAGCTGCAGCCTAGCTTTCATCTCCACAGTTTTGCAAGCAAAGGTTTTTCCCTTGAGACTTAGAGAAGAACAGGGCAGCTGGGGGTGGAGGATGGGAGCACTGTGGGCCACAAGCAGGTACTGCAGGTGTTTGCAATCCTAGTAGAAGGCAGACTGCCCAGAAGTCTAGTGATCCCAGGCAGGCGAGGGGCAGGTATTTCACATGTCCACTGTAGCTGGCTGAAAATGGGCCCCTGGAGGTAGTTATGAGTCTGCTGCAGCACATTCCACAGAGAGTGTTCTCCCTAGGAAATGCATACTCACTCAGTTACTGTGGGTAAATGAGCCCTGGAAAGCCTGTGGAGCTAGGCTAGGGCAGGGTGTTTCTCAGGACCATTGGAACTAGCTGAAAGCAAGACCCTGGCAGTAGCTATGACCTCTGCCTGCTCCCAGTAAATTCCATAGATAGAGGAAACTAGTAATTCTTTCATTACTAGTTAACATAAAGTATTTCTCCACTAATACCCTTTTAAAGTGCAACCTTCAGTTCTTTATAGTTCATACCAACAGAGTATCAGGGAACACTACCAGTGAAATAAGATCCCAAAATATCTCAGATGGTAGATGCTGCCATTTACTATTATCAAAAAAGTGGCTATCTCACAATTAGTAGCATCCAAAGCAATCAGATTTCTATATTAAAGCTAAGGATCCTTGATCTCTAAAACTTATTGGGACCTCAATAAGGAGAGGAGAAATGTCATGTTTGATTTTCAAATCCTATGACAATGTCAATAAGTAAAATATACTCGATAATTGTTTGAAGTAAGAATAAGTAGATAAAACAATCAATGATGACAAAATATATCATGACAAAACTGAACCCTTGCTTCCTGAGTTCTAAACACAGGACAAAGTTACCTCACTAAGTACCACAAGAATAGAGTAAGAAGATACTTTATTACCCCACTCCCTCTTCTTGCCCTATATATGGGCTGCCTATAATTCCTGTGTGCCTAAAACAGGTCTGGTTTGTGCCCTTTGACCTAGTATCTTGTCTGATTGGTGCTGCCTTTCAAGTAGATCCTGTGTTGAGTAATAAATTTTATGATCACCCTACATCTAAGATATTCCTTTAATGTATAGCAAATCTAAGTGCAAAGTGCTTACCTGATCAGAGAGCTTGTCTTTATAAACAATTCTCAATTTCACTTTTAAACTCTATGAGCAGATTAACTCTTTTTGCCTTTAAGTGCTTTCATAATACTGTAGCATTTAAAACCAACTAACAATTGTAAATAGTTACTAAGAGAACATCACTTGTTATGTCAACATTGTTTTTCCCATATCAATGATAGTAAGTGACTTATGTATGGTCATATCAAGTTTGAATCATAAATCATATGAGAAGAGGTGGTAGGAGATTCCAATTCTGGTTTTTGATTAATTTTCTAAACCACAGAGTCAATTAGCAATTAAATATCCTGTGCAGTTAGGTTAAAAAGATTGTAATCATTTAGTAAATGGCTTTGTGAAATACATGCAGTAGTAATTTATTTCAAACTGTATGAATCACATACATACCTTGGATGATATTTTTTAATGGGCTTAAATTTCATGGATAATATCAGGAGTACATCAGTTTCACTGAACAACCATCTGTATTCAAACCTAGCCTAAGCTATCAGAAGGTAAAGGGACTATTTATAAAATAGGTAAAATTCTAAATAAATATTTAGTCTCTTGGGTAACTAAAAATGGAGTTTTTTACATTTTTACATTTCACAAATATGTCTAAATTTCATACTATGATGTAATATAGTTTGGATAAGATTTTAGCAAATTAACTCTTTGGATTATAGCAGAAATTTTTAATGGTGCTAATGCCATTATTCTCTATAGTAACAAAACCAAAAAACTGATGGGAATAAATTTAATAGACTATGTCTAAGATTATATATAGACACATACTCACTCTACTGTTTGCATAAAAGGAGAGGCACAACATATATTGCACTGGACTCACCTTTATTGGCAAATCATCCCCACATAAACATAAAATCAGTCAGGGTCCTATTTACATCTTGTGGGGGGTGGGATAAAGAATTTGCAGGGGTTAGGATAAATTCAGGCAGTGTTCTTTTGAGGGTATGAATTTAAGAGAATAATCAAAAAAACTTTAAAAAGTATAAACTACAATAATAAAAATAGTATTCTGCTGGCACCAACCAAGGTAATAAAATTGAAAGTTCAGAAACAGGAACACAGGTGTATGTAAGCATCCAATAAACGAGAAAGAACTTGAAAAGCCTTAACAAGAAACATTGTGACAGCTGACCAGAGCCATACCTCTTACGATATGTCAAATTCCAGCTGGATTGAACACTTCAAAGCAAGAAATAGAAATAAAATATTTGGGGAAGGCTAGTCTATGACTTCAAAGGTAGAATTTTTAAAAAGGAGACCAATAAATTTGACAAAATATAAAGACAAACATACTAATTTTTTCATATCATTTTCCATCATTTATACTATAATCACTTCAATTTATCATATCTTAATTTCATTTAGTTTCTTTTGACATGCAAAAAAATCTAGACTGTAAGAGGTTAAAATATATTTCTTTTATTTTTGGTCTAGAAATAATTTTCTTGAACACCAAATGAAACTTATTTTCACTTATATTTTCTTAGAATTTTTTTCATTGTTCATTATTTATATAAATGACACTGGTAGAATATCAAAATATGATTTTGTCATTTATTAGCTATTTGCTATGAGGACATTACTTAACCCTGAACTCAATTTCATTTTCCCAAAAACAAAATCAGACATAATAATACCAATCTATTAGAGATGCCATGGAGAATAAAAGAAATAATTTTTACAAAGCATTTATCAAGGTAAAAACAAAAACAAAAACTTAATAAATGGTAGTTATTACTTTTAATGCTATCACGTTGCCTACTGGACTAAATTTCAGTGGTGTATTTTCATGACTAGAAAGTTATGATCATAGTGGTTTTTTTACCGGATTTTAAAACCAATTTCACATAATTTAATTAATGCTATAGCTTTCCATTTTTAAAGTACTTTTAGACCATAATATATGCCAATCAGAAATACATATTGATTCTTTGAGGACTACCTAGTTATACAGCATCCTACAATGTGGTCTTTTAAAGTTGCAGTCTAAAATCTGAAGTTATCAGATAGATATGTAACAATGTGATCCAAGAATATTGAAGTCCCTTACACACCAGCACTGATGAGATTACTTATGGGCTTAAAATATAAATAGGATGCTTACTCTTCTTTCTCTTACCTCTAGTATACCGTCCTCTGGCAGATCAGTACAGTGAACAGCATTCTGGATCTTAGTTTTACCAAAGATTGCTCTGAGGGTCCCAGGGCGCAAATGTCGGGCAATTTCCTATTGAATATATATTCACATATAGATTAAAGTCAGTTATCTAGTGTTAATCAGAAAAACACCAGCTATCTGAAACATGTTTAGGAAATAACAGTTATATATTGATGGTACAGATTTTTTTCCCCTGAACATGAATATATGAAAACTTTGAGCAGTGCAAATTTTCAGTTCACTCATAAGGTCTTTTCTGTGGCCCCATGCAAAGTCCACTGAAATCTATGTCAGAGTGCAACAATAATCACTGCTCTGTTTATTCATAGATTATGAGAATCATACAAAGTATGAACCCAGTTGATTATGGTGAGAGACAATAGAAATACTAACAACTTGATTTAAAATGAGCTAGTCTGATGACATTGATTTCAAAGATTTTTTGAAATATTAGTTTTATCATCTTCCTACTAGTTTACACCTAAGAGAAAAATGGAAACCCAGAATTTGTAACGTGGTTAAAAAAACCACCAAGTTAAAAAAGAAAGATGTGAGAGTTATTAACGACCTACTTTATAGTTTATCCTAGTAAAATTTTTCTTCAAGAATCCTAATTTTGAACTATATGATACATATAAAAGGGTATTTACTATACATGAAACTTTAAAAATAATGATGAATCAAATATCTGTTCACCCATTATTAAGCTGAATTAAAATAATAATACAGTAACTTTAAAGTCCTCAATCCCACCCAATCCTACCTCCACTAAGAGGCAATCATTAATCTAAATTTTACCTAAAGGTTCCCTTGCCTTGTATATTTTTCAAATTCTACCAAATTCCTGTTATATTCATTCCCTACTTGCTTCAGCCCCAAAAAGTCAGATGCTTGGTATTAAAAATTCTGCTGAAGTAACCCTTCAATGGGGGAAAGAATCCTGGCTTACAGTGTGACATCTAAACCTAAGACCTGGAAAAATGCACTAAATAGAACAGAGATTAATAACACACTGAAAAAAAAAGAAGAGAAAGTTTCCATAATTATTTTATTGTTGTATTTTTTTTAATTCTTTTTAGCAGTTGCTCAGTTTATTAGTTACTTTCCCAATCTTTAGCCTATTGATTCAATTTTTTTTTTTTGGTTTTTTAATTTTGTATATTTTTACATCATTTTTCATTTTTGTACAATGTACGCATTTTCACCTTGGTTATAGTCCCCGTACAATCCCCACCACCCTTATTTTGATCCTACTTCCTTCTCCCCCCCTGTAGTGTGTCTCTGGATTATAGTTGCGAGTACATAGGTTTTTATTATATGCATGCCCTCAGGCACCAGAGGGAATGGGACTGGTTTCTTTTTTTTTTCCATTTTTTTCCTTTTATATATTTTTTACATCATTTTTCATTTTTGCACAATGTATGCATTTTCATCTTGGTTATAGTCCCCATACAATTCCTACCCCCCTTGCTTTGATCCTACTCCCTCCTCCCCTGCCCCACCCTGTACTGTGTCTCTGGTTTACAGTTGCTTGTTCATTTTGATTTTTACTTTGTTATAAATTAGTCTTTTTCCTGGTCCCTTATTTAGGTTTTCTAAATTCCTGCTATGAATGAGACCATCTGGTATTTTTCTTTTTCTTTCTGACTTATTTCGCTGAGCATGATCCCTTCCAGCTCCATCCATGTTGCTGCAAATTGCATGAGTTGATCTTCTTGATTGCTGAGTAATATTCCATTGTGTATATGTACCACATCTTCTTGATCCAGTGATCTGTTTTTGGGCATTTGGGTTGATTCCATAGCTTAGCTATTGTAAATCGTCCTGCTATAACCATAGGGGTGCAGGTGCCCTTTTGAATTAATGTTTCTGTGTCATTTGGGCAAATACCTAGGAGTGGAATTGCTGGATCCTATGGAAGCTCCATCTTTAGCAATTTGAAGAATCTCCACACAGCTTTCCATAGTGGTTGGACCAGTTTGCACTCCCACCAGCAGTGCAGGAGAGTTCCTTTTTCTCCACAACCTCGCCAACATTTGTTGTTGCTAGTTTTTTTTAATATGTGCCATTCTCAATGGTGTAAGATGGTATCTCATTGTAGTTTTGATATGCATTTCCCTGATTACAAGTGATGTTGAACATTTTTTCATATGCCCACTGGCCAATTGCATTTCCTTTTTGGAGAAGTTTCTTTTTCGCTCTTCTGCCCATTTTTTCACTGGGTTATTTACTTTGTTTTTGTTGAGTCTCATCAGCTCTGTAGATTTTTGTGATCAGTCCTTTATCATTAACGTTGTGTGCAAAAATTTTCTCCCAATGGTGGGGTGTCTCTTTGTTTTGGTTACTGTCTCTTTTGCTATACAGAAGCTCTTTAATTTGATGTAGTCCCACCTGTTTATCTTTGCCTTCACTATCACTGCTTTGGGTGATGTGTCTTTGTGTATATTTTAATTGTTGTTGCTTATTGAGCAATAGGTCTATCAGATTGATATAATATATCCAGACAAAAAACAAACTGCTTCTACAGAAAGTTATTTTGTTTCAGTTCTCTACATAAAGGAGAGAAATATAAGAACAATAAATGACCTTTCACTTAAGAAGTGAATTGAATTAGAAAAGGATTTGTAAAATGTACCAATTATAGAATTTTAAAGAAAGACAACTTTCTATAATGAATGGTATATAGTGGATACTCACATTTGATCAATAGCCTAATTCTGGGTAAATTTTAGGGAAAAAAAGGCTTCCTTAAATTATAGGATAACCATTTTAGTAGTGATGTAGATAAATATATAAAAGTGTATGAGAGAGGAACTAGCATAAGTGACGTAAGCAATTCTAAAATAGCTGCAAAACAGAATGGAAATCGTGTTATAACTGATGCCCTCATTTTATTAGGTAACAAGGGTAGAGCTTAATTTCAAAGTTCAATGCAGCAACCACCACAATTAAAACAGCAAATATTCATGTGTTCTGTAACACTGAACTGCACAAGCTAAATCATCCCTTTGCTTCCTGATACTTCAACAATAAATCACCAAAGCTGGCCTCAAACAGTTTTCCCATTTGCATACAACTTCATATTAACTAATGCAGTGGCTGTTATATATGCTTTGGAAATAAAAATAGGCAAATTCACAACTAAAACATGATAGTAAAATACTGGAAGGAATTGGAAGCAAGAAAGGAAACCAGAAAGGAGAGCCAAAGGCTACTTTTGAAAATCGAATGATCCTTCCAAAACCTATGCATAGATTCAGAAAAAGTAACTGCACAACTCAACTCCAGCACTTATACATTAGTGTCACTGATGAGCCATCAGAAAATCCACAGTAAATTCACTTATCTTATTAGTTCTGGAGCCCACCCAACTTTACATATGGGGAATCGTTAAATCATTTGGCTTGTGAACTCCAATAGGCTCCTCAGCTCTCTTTTCATTGAGTAGAAATTAGCAGTCATGTGAATTCATAGAACATGAAGAGGGATATAATTAAATGTGATTTTATGTGAAACATTCTTACAATTCATTCCTGTCTTCTACTAAGCTTCAATAGACTGCCTCTTACCAAGCTGTTTGCTGCATCAGTCAACAACAGGCCCTGGTTGAAATCAACTTTTTTTGACACAGATGTTTTATTTTAAATGTAAAATGATGTCCTCCTTGTTCTTCTTTTTTACAGCTGAGATATCTCTTTGCTCGCTTATATGAAAATCACCTTATGTTTTAATAAACACAAAGACTCAAGTTAAGTAAAATCTAACAGCATAAACATTAGTATGGAGAAAATTTGCATTACTTTTGGGTAGATTTCTACTTTTCAAACACCTCATTATAGGAGATTTAACCTTTCTCAGTCTCTCTCCAAAAAAGCATTGCTGTACACAGTCAACCCCATCCTGATGATATAAAGAATTGCTATACAGTCTTCCTCTACTTTCCTGATGAAAGTTTATGGCTCAATATTCAAACTCCCCTAAAGAAAGAAAAAAAAGAAAATAGCTGGGCCCCATTCTTGACCCCTCTAACACCCAACTCATTGCCAAGTGTGCTCAGTACAAGTGCTGAAACACAGTCCCATAACAGACTACTTCTTTCCTTATCCATTCCGTCACCACATTCTCTTGCCTAGACAACTGGTTTCCTAGATTTCACTCTTTCTGGTCTATCTAGTCTCCTATATTCACTGCCTCTGATAAACATATTCTCCACAAAGCAGTCAGAGTAAGCTTTATAAAGCATAAGCTGAATCATACCACATCCCTCCCTCGGACCCTAATGCTTTCCTTCTTAAGAGAAGATCCAAAATTCTTAACATCATCTATAATCCTATCTATCTTATCTGTCATTCAGTAATATTCATTACCCACTACTCCTCTACAGTTGGCATTGAAAATGTTCACTCTATCTAATTTAAGTGTTTTCTCTGAGCAGACAACTTTTGCTACCTGCAGGGCAGAAAAAATAAAATAAAAACCTATTTTTAAAAAATATATATATGTATCTGTATCTGCTCTTCCTCAACTTCCCTTCAAAGAAGTGTTTCTTCTTTTAATAGTTAATCCTCCTGGGCCTCCCCAGTGGCGCAGCGGTTGAGTGCTGGGTTGCGAAGCTGCCCGCAACCTCTGCAGTGCCGGTTGGATCTCTGGCTGCTCCCCGGCCACCAGAGGAGGGTCCCACATGGCGCGCAGACCTCTCCTGCCGCCCGCTGCTCCCCTCAGCAGTGTACTTCAGTCCTTCTGCCTGCTCTGCTCCCCGCTCTGGCTCTGGTGAATTCTCTCACCCTCCCGCGCTTCTGACTGTACCCAGTGCATGTATAAACAAAACAAACAAATAAATAAATAAACATGCCTCTATTAAAAAAATAATAGTTAATCCTCCTATCTCTTGGTCACTATAATTCCCATTCTCTGATATTTTCGATCTTTTTCTTTCCATTAACTTCTTTTCTGCAACCTGTTAAGATATTGGTGTCTCTCCCATCATTAAAAAATAAACAACTTTGCTGTCTATCTCTTCCCTGCCCCTTGTACAAATCTTAATAACCTCTACTTCCATTTATTCTCTA